ATACATACATACATACATACATACATACATACATACATACATACATATAAAATGTGTATATATAATAATATAATATAATTATATATATATATTTATTTATAAAAAAAATATATAAAATATTATGGTGAAGATGTCTCAATAATTATTTTTTTTAAATCTGACAGTGCTGATCGTATAGATACAATTAGTCTTGTCTCTACTAAGCATGGGGATAAATATTGGCTAAATATTGTTTTTTTCCAATTACCCATGATACAAAGGACTTTGTATCATGCTATTGACAGCTATTGTAAGTGTGATACAGCCTGAATGTGTAAACAAAATGTCACATCTGGATTCAAACTGATGTAATTTCCAGCACCCCCTTTCATCATCACGTTATATGGATTATATAGAGATACAGATAGCACATGTCGCACGGTTCAGATGTTTTCATGCTCTCGTCACAAACGGGAAAGAGCTGTGCCACTATTGATTCAGATGTTTGGGTCAACCGCGGTGTGTGCCAAATGAACTCTGACGGCATGTTTATCACACCACTCCACACAGCGCCTCACACCCACGCCGTCTTCAAAAATCAACAAACAGCCCTACTTTCACCTCCCACTCTCCTGAACCAAAATAGACCTCGCTCCTCGTATTTACAGACTGCCTGCTAGAAATCACAGCCGATTATGAAGTTCACACGTAAATGAATTCACGAAAGCAGTTTGACATAAATGAGAAGGGAGACATACCACACGGTCTACGGGGATGAAACTGGTATCCATTGACACGATCCGGAATTGTACTTTAAAGAGAGGAAATAATCACGATCAGGACAAGAAATAAAAAAGAGACAAGATAATAACAATATTATGGCATGGCATGCAGGGTAGAGAAACAGAATCCAGTCGACAAATAAATATGAAATATTTCAAGGTGTGAACAAGCATATCTGATAATTACAGAAAATGAATGAATGATGAATAACCAATGAGAATGCAGCAAAAAAAAAGAATTATGAACCTGATAACAGAAGGCATTAAAAACTAGTCAATTAAAAGGCATTAAAACTGAGGAAGTAGAATGGACCAACTGGTAATGGTGCTTTTTTTTATGTACACAATAAAAAAAAAAAAACTTTAAATCTACAATGCTAACTGGGGCTTAAGAATGAAGTGTGTGATTATTAAAATAATCTGTTTAAATTCTGCCATGGGCCCACAAAAAACAAAAAAACCCCAGATAATTAATGTCCTAAAATTTAATGTTTTGCAAGATTTTTGTTTTAACCCTTGAACATCTACACTTTGAAAAAAGGACAGCAAAATATTTATTTGCATTTCTTTAATTTCTTTGCTGCATAACAACCAGAATAGATGCTGTTGGTATGACACTTTAAGTAAAAAGTGGGACATTTTAAAGAAGAAATGTAATATCTCATGCTTAATTTAGACATCAGATACCCAAACTTAATCTTCGAGCTACTTTGGGTAAGTCCATTTCCTCTAATACATTGTTTGAGGAACAAGTGAAAAATCTAAAGCTGAATGACTTAGTTGAAATTTAAAGTATTATTATTTGATTGGTCCAAGCCTGTACCTTTTCATCCTTCTTTTTCCTTTCATCCTTCTATTTTACACCCGACAAAGGACTTGTTTTGGACTGTTTTTGTCATGCATAGACCCTAAGACATCACTGCAGACAGTTTTGACTGCATATCAGGCACTTTGATACTTTTCAGAATAGAATAGAATTGTTTTTTTCTCCCAAACATATAAAATTCGGAATGACCAGACTCCAGTCCCGCTGCTGTAAGTCCAGACTGCTGGGGGAGCTCCCATGATGCATCTCTCCTGTATGATATTTGTGTTGTTTTCCATTTCCTATCAAACCCCAGGTAATCAAGGAAAATCTGACTTCTCTTCCTGGTTCTGGCTCCAATGGAGGGTTCTCTGTGGTACTGATGAAATGATGGAGTTTTTAACTCTCCAAAGCCGTCGCATGCTCAGGACAGAAATAAAAGTGAAGTTCTAACTTGTGCTTCACTTTCCTATAATCACTAAATATCTGAAATATATCTTCAGTAAGCCCAGACACTGACTTGGTTGAAAGTAGTTTATGATTAACGGGGGGACTTAAAGGCCGAATATGGAGTCTGTTTTCTCAGAGTCATGCAAACATACCCACGTGATGTCAACCCTAATTATATTTGGACTGATGTACAGTTAAAAACCAACAGAAAATGACCTTTTCTCTTTAGCACATGCACACTATGTTCATTTTGGGTTTACTTTCCAGTTATACAAAAAAAGTTTAGTCCACTCAGCTAAGCTTTGCTAGTCCACCAACAGAAAAGCACATTACTAAGTAAAGAGGCAGACTGCTATCAGTCATTGTGGAGCCAGAACCAATATGGTCAATAAAGTGATTTCCCTCCCATGCTCGTATACTGGGACAAAGGAAAATACAATAAAAAATGTATTTCTGTCAAGTTTAAACTTAATTGCACATGTAAACATATTTACTGTGTCAATTAAATAAATGTCAAAACAATTAGATGAAATCAGTCTTGCACATATACATAAATACGCTTCATAAATATACTTTGTTCTGCATTTGGATATTGTTTCAAATCATAAACAAACAGCCTCCTTCCAGAACTCCTGAGGAATCACCTTATTTTCCCCCCCTCTGTCTACTAGATTTAGACATAACTCCAAAAGTTCTGAAGCGATGGCTCAGCGTTTTTTGCAGAAATAATAAAGCCACTCAAAGTTGTGCAGCTCAATTTTCAAAGCCGGCAAAGATGATAATGTGGGAAGATGAGCAAGCAATTCAGCAGTATCGCCTCATACACCCGGAAGATCCAGTTCCTCCACACACCATTCAACAGGACCTGAGATAACTGACACGTACCAGTTTGTCCAGGCTTGTAGATTGGTTTGTCGGTTTGGACGACGTGGATGAAAGCGGGAGGCTTGATCATGATTTTGGTCTTCTTGCTGATTCGGTTTTTCTCCTCGCTCCCGACTCGAATTGCCGCCTGAACGGTCGCCACCGTTGAGGATCGCACTGTGGGAACCTGAGATACCAGCAGAAGTATATCTTAGAAAGGGATTCTTGTGCCCGGAAAGCAGGTATCCTGCTAAAAAAATGCTGATTTCCCACATTTAAGACATTTTGCAGTGGTAGAGAATGAACATTTTGGAAGCAAATCTCTCCAAAACCTGAAAAACCTTTAGACACAAACAACGAAACATTAGAGTGCTTTTATTTTTTTAAGCTGCTGTTACATAACCGTGTAGCAGCAGCCCCCTAAAAGGACACTCCCTAACATTTCAAACGGGTACTCTCTCACATAGGTATTGTGAGACTGGGAGTAAGGGTTAGGAACTGATCTGTGGCAGAAAACATGTGTGATTTAGTTCCAAAGTTGGGGGGAAAAAAGGCCAGTCCTGAAGCAGAGCCAAATGTTGTGGGGGCAAGAGCTGAAACCCAGTGCATTGTCACAGAGCTGATTACAGCAGGCCTGTTGTTTTCCATCAATATGGAGCGGGGCCCGTGAGTTGCATAACAACAGGAAGTGGTATGACAGAGACCTGATTTACAGGGAGCTATTGGTGTGGACAGCCTCAGGCCCACTGCATAATGACATCCAGGATAAGGCCAAGACTCTAGTGGTTTGGTAGTTTAGTGTATTTGGTTAATATGGAGGGCAAGAGTAAAGTACACTAAAGCTTTCAAAGCTTGAGTATACTGTTAGAATTTGGCTAAAATGACAAATTTTAGCATAGTATGCTATAACATGATCTATGTTAATTGCTGATTGTCTTATTCTTTTTAGAACTTTACTTTCTGTTAAAGTCTCTGGCTGTGCCCACAGACTGCTTTTTTCTCTTTCACACACACCTTTTGTTACCGCATTCCAATGTCATTTGCATGAATTAGGACCTGGCCTGTTCATGACCCCAGGTATTTAGCCAATAGGACTTGGTTATGTCCAGTCCTCCTTGCTCATCACACCCAGATCTCGGGTCTCTTGGCCAATTGAGACCCAGAGAGAGATTTTTTTGTCTGTGAAGGGCCCAGTGCTGATATACTTTGCCTGTGACCTAATAAATGTCAATTTTTTACTCTTGATCTACTCTAAAGAATCGGGCTAACAATACGTTGAAGCTCTTCAAATAATCCACACCATTCCACAGCTCTACATCCAGTAGAGGAAAGAGCAAATGGCATTTTACAGATCTGATATTTTAAAAAGATTAAATCAAAATGGGTGAAAAAGACAACTAACCTGAAATGTTACGCAGCGGTAGAAGTCGCCTTTGAGAGGCTGCTCTAAGATGACTTGGTCTGTGGAGTCCACAGACAGGCTGATGACCAGTGTCATGTCCTCAGTGGGGCTGCGGACCTGGGCACACAGAGTCTCCTGGTTCCCCCCGGTCACGTGGGAGCTGACGGTCACTGCGTAAATGCTGCGTTTTAAAAAATGAAAACAGAAAAGTTATGTTTGGGAAACTAATGCACACACAGTTTGCACAGGGAAAGTTGTGCGTTACCTCACTTTAAACAAATATCAGAGTAGTAGAAGTTGTGTTCTGTGCCAGTCAGAGTGCCAATGCCATTATTTTATAATGAAAAGGATTATTTTTAAGAAAAAAAAGTCAACTGCTTCATAGCTGGGGCAGGCATTAACGCTATGACGTCACCAGCCAAAGTTAAAATAAGAACACCCACGCAAAGTTCAATAGACAAATCAATATCAGAGACTTTGGACTTTGAGTAAAATCACTTTCCTGCACACGTTTTTCCACAAATGGGAGGGTTTTCCAGCCAAATTGACTTGAAAGACTATGGTTTTAGAAAAACAGCTGAGCTGGGAAATGAAATGAACTTTAAAAATCTGTGGACGGACAGACACACACTGGTGGGACTGTTGGTTGGATGGTTGCGTAACGGGGTCTCGAGGCCAGCAGGCGCCGGACTCTGAAATAACAGGCTGTAAACTTTTTCTCCACGATTTATCCAACGAAATATTAATATTTCTTTGTTGGAACTTTTGTTTCCCCCCCACACACCCCCACCCCGCCCCTCTAAAGGCCGATCCAAGCGTGCGTCGCGCTTCTCCAAGAAAAAGCGCTCGACATGGCATCAGCTGCGCAAAAAACGCACCCAGACGGGGATAAGTTATAGGGACCCAACTCACGTGTCGTTGAGGCCGGCTGACGTCGCAGATCCGAGGAGAACCGCGACCATAGTGACCGCGATCAGTGCGCGGACAGGTGCCATGGCAGCGGATCCGGACCGGCGCTTTTACTGGACAGCAGGATACCACCGATGACCAGGTTGCCTTTTACACCCTCTGGGGAATCGGGACTCTCAGACAGGGATGTGCACTGTCCGGGGTTGCCTGTTTATACCAACCAGACCACAGCCTCCCCCCCCCCCACACCCCCTCCCCTCGCCCCCCCCCCTCAGCTGCCCCCTCCTTGAGGTTTACTCCCCTAAAGTTCGTTGGTCATTTGCAGCCTCCACCCCATTCCACAGCTCCACTTCCCAGCAGTGGCCAGCCCGAGGCCAACAACCCAGTTTTTCTAGAGAATTTGAACAACAAAAAAAGCACTTTACCTAAGTTAGAGCTGCAAAGGAAGGTTCACAGATCTATATAGAGAGGTCACTCTAGCTGACGCAGGCACAATGAGCATGGATTTTTTTTAGTATGACAGGTCTGACGTCAACAGGTAAACAAAGGCTAAAGACAATAGAAATAAGTGCAGGGCCTAAGGGGCCAGATGGACTCATAGTTTGACGGTCCTTCTTGTGTTACTTCTTCTTCCGCCCCCCTCCTTCAAACATTTGAGTTTGATAGGGAATGATTGTGTGTCTGTACACTGACCATCAAATTCGTATTAAGGTGAAAATGCAGGTGTTGTTATGATCTGGGGGACGTTCATGCTCAGACACAGGACGGATATAGGTGGCTTTCTTTTTTTTTCCATCGACATAATTGTTGTTCTTTTCATGGTGGCTAAAGTTAGAAGTCATTCACCCTTTGAGAACATGACGAAAACCTGGACAAAATTAATCCTGATGATTATGTGATCCCCCATCCCACAGCTCCATTTCCCAGCAGTGGTCAGCCCGTGGCCAACAACCCAGTTTTCTAGAGAATTTCAACAACAAAAATGCACTTTACCTAAGTTAGAGCTGCAAAAGGAAGGTTCACAGATCTATATAGAGAGGTCACTCTAGCTGACGCAGGCACAATGAGCATGGATTTTTTTAGTATGACAGGTCTGACGTCAACAGGTAAACAAAAGCTAAAGACAATAGAAATAAGTGCAGAGCCTAAGGGATCAGATGGACTCATAGTTTAACTATCTTTCTTGTTTCACGGGTTGGGCTGACCTACCCTAGCCTGCAATCCCTGCCTTTACATTTGAATGAATCCCTTCCGAATACCACTTACCCCCGATTAGGTGAAAGTATCATGATTTTTTTTATGGTTTCCTTGTATGTTTTGTGTATGCGTATTTGAGGACGTTCAATGCAGAATGACAAATTGTAAGTAGAACTGAAACCATGGCAGCTTTGTGGGGAGCAGCTGACCTCTTAGTGAACGAGCAAAGGAGTAATTCTTAAAAATCTTAAACTTTATAGCGTATTTACCTTTTAATTGTGGGTAAGGAGCCGCCTTACGAGTACTCTGCTATGGCCATTTTTGCATTTGGACAAGCCCAGAATCAGGGACAGCCAAATCTCGCTGTCCACGTAGAGTACAGATTATACACGCTTCCGCCCCCTCCCTCAAACGTGTTTGTTTCTTCCACTGACATAATTGTTGTTTTTTTTCATGGTGGCTGAAGTTAAAAGTCATTCATCCTTTGAGAACATAACGAAAACATGTACAAAATTAATCCTGATGATTATGTGATACTGCTGATCTATAGAGGAAAGTTATCGATATGTTTTTGGTGACTCTAAAAACGTATCCAGTGACTAACCGGCTGCGAGTTTGTCTAATGCAGGTGAAAGAATCTGCTACAGAACAGAGTGCACCCACAGATGAGGGTAGGTCAACTTGTGAGACACAGGAAAGGGCAAACATGAAAAGAATTCCTCTCAGGATATTAAAAACATGCCAAGCTCTACCTGTTCATTCCTGAGTGTGGAGCAGAGGTAGACTGCAGATCAGCAGAGACAGTAGTTTCCACAACACAGACAAGATTTAATCGGATTTTTCCAGAGACATCCCCAAAAACGTGTGTGATGATATATAAGCGCGTGTTTTCTCTTTTATTTCAGTTTTGTTCGGATGAGAATTGGTTTGGCTGAAGGCAACCTGGCAGAAGTCTTTTATCTACTCTTACTTATGTCTCATCCTGCCTTTTGATCTCTGCTGCTAAAAAAAAATCTGTTTCAATGTTGAATGTAAGAGAAGTTCTAACCTATTACATATTAGCTACATTTTCCCATGGTGCTTCACTCAAGGCGATTATGTTCTGGCTTTTATGACATTCAGAACCTCTGTCAGCCATTCTCTTACAGGTATTTGCAAAATTAATTTTAAATACAAGAATACAAGATCATAAGATCTTTTTATTTAATGAAAACGACAGAGTTATTCAATTCAAGTTTAATTAACTGTTCCTTGTCTTCTGTTAAAGACAGAAAAAGTGCTGGAATGCAAGCCAATTATTGGTCCAATACTTATTATTGCAACCATAACCCAATTAAATCCCATCAAGTAAATTACCGATTTGTCCAGTTCATTCAGAGCCAAATTACAAAGAACTTTCCAACAAAACAAAAGCAAGACATTGCACTGAAACTACTCTTTAATCCAGTCCCATATCCTGTATGTGCACAACGTGACGTGCATACTGGGAGCTCCCCTGACAGTGTGGGCCTATAACAGCAGAACTGGAGTTTGGTCGACATCTATGTATGTATGACAAAAAGATGGAAAGTTATTTGAAGAGCATGCATAAGGGTTAAAAGATACTACACAGGCATGGACCATTCAAACAACTACATCAAATTCAGCTTTATACCATTACAACTCTTTTAAAAAATCCTTGAATGGTTCTTGATTCCAGACTTAATCAGTATCTTAATGGAAATTACATACAAAAGCATAGCATGACAAGCAAACAGATCTGGCCAGAGTTGATGATACACTCTAAAACTTTATGTTTTAAATTTGGTGTTGTGTTTAGTAATGTTTAAGGAAAAAACACTGGAATGCTTACCCTGATACTGGCAAATCTGGAGTTTCCTAGAGCTAAACTGACCAGTTAGACAAGCCTGTGACAGGTTTGTCTGGACCTTATCTATCAGTGGACCTGGGGCAAAAACCATTGTGTTGGGTCAAATTTAGCACATAGTTTGAGGCAGTTTCTATGACTCTAAAGACACCTTCAGGGTAAATCAATCTCCAATAAGCAATCAGTCAAGCAACATTTTTCTATTCCCTTTTTAAGCAGTTTGAAGAAACTTCTGGTAATCTTAGGGATACCTTCATTTTCATCTTAAAATCTATAAAAAAAAATGAAAAGTGGTTATAAAGAATTTCTGACCTTACCTTATGTAATTGAATCCAGTTTCTGAAATCTTGGGAGGCTGGGGTTTTACCACCAGACAAAGCGACCTGGGAGACAGTCCAGAGCAGAATAGTGGGCTTTCAGATGCCACACATGTTATAACCAAGTTGCTCAAATAGTAACAAATGGGAAATACTATCCAAAGATTGTAAAGAATAACGGAACATGACAAAGATTTTGTTTTTGAGACTTCAATATTAAGGCAAATTGATGATAATTAGAGGCCCTTTGGGCCGTGACCCCCAAACTTGAGTCAGTAATTGGGAACTTGGCTTCAACAGATCCCAGGAACAACATTTCCTCCTACTGTGAATGGCTTTCACCCTTAGACTATCTACTCACCATTACCAAATGGTACCTGGGTCTTCTAACCACATGGTCTGCTCCCATGTCTATGAAGTCTATCTCTGAAGGGAACTGGGGATTTGCATATCTTCCTGATGGACACTTGAAGATTTTCAGTGGCTTATGACTATTCCGGTCATATAGGGCTGTATGATGGGTTATATAGGGCTGCCACCAGGTGTTTTCAAATAGTCGCTGAGTTTGTCCCTTTCTTTCAGTTGCGGGTTCTTTTGCTTGTCTTCGGAGGAGGTAACAGAGCTTCCCAGGAGCCACGAGACGATCTTCATGTTATCTCCAGAGTCCCTCCTTTTGACTTGCTGCTCTGTCCTTCCAAAGACTTTGTTCATAGGCATCAACTTCCTTTCGGATCTCTTTTATTTCTTTCACACTTAGAGTTGGCAGGACCCTTCTGTGTCTTTTACTTCCACCATTTGACACCTCCTCCATCTTGCTATAGGGGGCTCCCTTGTCGCGGGAGCAGCAACGGACCCCCACATGCGTGATATTTGGTCAGCAATGGGTTTTCTAACTTCTAACACGGTGGTGTGGTGGTTTCAACCATCGCCTCACAGCAAGAAGGTACTGGGTTCGTGTCCCGGGGGACCCAAAACCTTTCAGTATGGAGTTTGAATGTTCTCCCTGTGTCTGCGTGGGTTCTCTCCGGGTTCTCCGGCTTCCTCCAACAGTCCAAAAACCTGAATGTTAGGTTTATTGGACAGGTTTATTGTGATTGTGTGTCTCTGTGTGGCCCTGCGATAGACGGTTGTACTGTCCAGGGTGTACCCCATCTCTCGCCCATTGACCACCGGAATAGGCTCCAGTTCTCCCCGCGACCCCATTAGGGAATAAGTTGTAACGATAATGAATGGATGGTTTTTCTAACTGCATTCTGAATCTTTGTTGTCAGATAGGTGGATGCTGTTTCTGTGGTTCAGAATTCCCTGTGTTTGCAGAAAGCTTTTGGCTCTTGCAGTGACTGCTCTTCTCAACGTCTTATGCCTCAGTTTTTGTTCTGTCTGTACTTCCTCATTTGATGTTCAAGATTCTTTGAGCAAAGTTCATAGCTCAGGTTCACAAGGCCAATTATTTCCTCTCATACAGTCTGTACAGCCTGGGGAAGTCTTTTCATCACTTGGAGTAGGATATAGTGATCGCATCCCATCGAACCTGTCTTTGGGATGTGTCTATTTCTTGGGTCAGGTCTATGGCTATAGACGTCTGGTTGAAGAAGGGCTATTGCTTCCTCGGTGTTCTCATCAGATGAGTCAGATTTTTGTACTGCTAAATCCAAATTCAAAGGTGTGGTCGTAATGACTTTGGCTACATACAAGTGTTTCTTGG